AGACCACCACAGTTGATCTGAAATACTGATGGTAACGGTGGGGAGTTATGTCCAATCCAATACTCATTGAGTTGGGCAATCATCCATAGGACGGTGACCCATAGTATTTCACCCTGCTGACGTTGGTAAATGGCTTCGAACACTTGTGGTGCGATGCCTTCTAGGGGCATGAACGAGCCTTGGAGTTGACAGAGCAAGTCGCTGTTGACTTGAAGAAATTGCTCTTTTTCTCCTGGGACAAGACACTTGGGATGAGCCAATGCAAATTGCAGCTGCTCATACGGACATGCTTCAATGTCCTTGTGGACTGCAACTACCCCTCGTAGCTTGGCGACGTGACCCCAGGGCACAAAGAGAGGAGTAGACAGCCGTTGCGGACAGGGAGTGCATGGACGAGGGTCAGGTACTTGACTACCCTGCGTCGAGTCGCTTTCGATTGCTTTAGCGAGTCGATCTGCTCTTTTGTCAGAAGTGTCAGACGAGGGCGTGGAGACTGACTCCACGTCTGCATCACCGTCCTCTGCCGGAAGACAGCTAAGGCTGTCCCCCTGCCCAGTTGTGCTGGAAAGAGTTCCGTCGCTTGCGGACGAATCGCCCGCCACTTTAATAGCAGGCAGAAGCGCAGAGCACTGTTCCCGGCTACACCAGGGAAGTAGCCTGTAAATTTACACCCACCTACTGGTTTCCAAGTCTCAACGACCCATGCTGGGGGCAGGTTGGGCATGCCGAGTATCGCAATCGGTAGCGTTTCCCAACCTTGCTGCTCCAATTCTCGTAAAGCAGCCTGCGCTCCAACTTTGGCCTTGCCAAAGGCATGAAATATGGCAGGTCGCATTCGGTTGCGCGGCAGCGCACTGGCTTGGAAAAGATGTTCACCTGGCAACGACGCGACTGTGCATGGCCCTGTAAGCATTGGGAGCACTGACAGTATTCCCTGTTCGAAGGTAGCACGAGCCCAGCTGGTGACCCACGGAGTTCGCTCTCTCCCTTCAGGGGTGAGAGCCCTTGGATGGGATTGCCGTGGCCACTTGATTGTATTGCCTGGACCAAGTTCATTCGGGCTGGTAACAGGACTAGGCCAAAAATGCTTACGCATGTAGAGTCCGTATAGGGACCAGACCATACATAGGTCAAGGGCGGTTTGCATTGCTGTCCCAACAAAGGGGGTAAACAAGGTGCCACTTATGGCGGTGTCGCTCGGATTGGCAGGTGGTCTAGCTCTCGAAACTAGGGCAAGGCGACCTGCCTGGAGGTTCTTCGCCAGGGTCGCGGCAGTCGTGTCATACTCCAGTGGACTGTGCTTGCTGCGATTGCCGATCGAAATGACCAGACCTGCATTATATTCTAAGTGAGCCTCTGTGAAGAGTAGCATGCCAATCCCTGCACAGGAGCTAGACTCTGAACGCACACACCCTATGAGGTCAACCCATTGGTGCTGCTGATGTGCCAGCTGCAGTAGATCTTGCACTTCGAAAAGCGTGACTGGTACACAGTCATTGTCAATGAGGGCAAAATGCTGTGCAGGATACAGGAAACGCGCTGCCTCTAGAACAAAGACTCCTGCCCAATAGTATGGAACCTTGTGAAGGCCAGTAGTAGCATCAGCACAGACCCCAAAGTATGTCAGTTGTCTCTTCTTGGGGACCCACTAGGCACCTACGTGAGGCCCACCATGCTGCAAAAGCTGGCCAATGCGGGACATCTGCCGGCATTCGATTGTCCACTATTAGGTAGATCATTTGATTGTTCATGATCAAGTCTCGGTGTAACATGAGCGTCTGAATAATGGCAGTGGTATCAGGCAGGTCTCCCTCTGTGTCAAGAGCGGCATACCCTTCATCCTTTTTGGATGGTTGCGCACGAACATCAGACAGGCCAAGCGTAGGCCGAGCGGAATCAAGGCCGAAAGGACTGCTGAGAGTGTCTTTCATAGCCATCGCTGCATAAGCATCCTCCTGGGACTGCGTCACACTAGCCTCCGTACCTCTGGCAAAGTTGGCCTGGCCATCAGCTGTCAGCCACTCCGCATGATCACGTGTGAATGCAAAGGGCACATGGACTCTATCCTCCACACTATCTGCAAGGTCCAGTGAATTACTGTCCTCCATCCACGGGTCATGTGACATCGGAATTGCTCTGCTCAAAAATAAACAAAAAACGAGTGCAGCCCCCGCCAGCTAAGGTTGGCAGTTGCCCTGAGCGGCGCGAGCAAACGAAAGGCAACAAGGGTGATGTCAGCTAAGGCTGACCTCACTCCTGCATGCAGGGCGCTACGACCTGCTGTGAGCCAAACGTTACAGCAAAATGCATCTGCAGAAAATCAACTGCATCTAGCTTTTAGCAGGGGACACCTTTCGAAACAATACAGGAAGAAAAAGGGGACATCATGTTGCTGCAGAGGCATGTCACCAGGACCCTGTCACTACTGGTCGTGATCATCAGCATGCGGGTGCAAAAGGGAGAGTAACCAGGCTACGTACACCAGGCCACACAGTTGGGAGTGTAGGTCAGTCAGGGGAGTGAGGAGAGCACCCTGCACATCTGGAGGCATATAGTCTACTGTTTGTTCGATTTCCTGTACCAGGGCATGCAGACCTTGCACTCTTGCATGTAGGGCTGATTCGATCTGGTGGTGCGCGCGCTCTGTATGACGCTGAGGGGGCGCTTGTTCCGTAGGTTGTGTGTCTACTCGAAGGACCTGCTGCTCTTGTCTGTCATCAGTAGACCAAAAGCCCACGCGCCGAGGGAGGGAAGCTGAAAAGGGGCGTGTCTGCAGGAAAATATCAAGAGGGTCTGCGCTCTCTGTGAAGATCCTAGCGCTTACCGCTTCAGCCAACACAGTGAGGAGGTGGCTTTCGTGGTGCTGTCTGTGCAAAATCATCCTGCGGAGCCGAGTTCGCTTTGTGCCATAAGTTGTGGCCCCCCTGGTGTTGATTGCAATACAGCCCTGATGATAGAGCGGAATGATGGCCCCTTCCACAGTTGCCCGAAGCTTGAGCAGGGCTGGCGGAAATTCAAGCCCTTCCGTCCATTCTGGGAAAGGGGTATTTACGTTTTCTTTGACTGCGTCCACTGGAAAAAAATGCAGTAGATAGCACTGCGCCCTCCGCCCCCTGTAGACGAAATTTACAATGAGGTCGAGCACCATACCGAATGTCCTTGTGGTGGAGCTCAAATCGTACAAAGTCAGTGACATCGACATACGTACCATAAAAATCAGCAAGGTTTATACAGGTAGTGCCCAAATTTGGTGGTGCTACAAAACTGGTTGGCAACTCCCTCAGCTGCACACACCCATTGCAAGGAACTGCATTCCGCAAAGGCTTTATAGCCAAACTCCCGGCAGCCAGGTGCGGTGACACTGTTGAGCAGTTGGCAGCCGCGGAATGCATTATCAGCAATGCCAACCACTACCGTTGCCGGCAACTTGATGATTCGAAGCTGCCGACAACACTGCCAAGCTTCTGCACCCACAAATCTGATGCCTGGCACTGCACTGACGTGGCGTAGGCGTGGCACACCTGCAAACGCACTCTCCGGAACCATCTCCTCTGGGTTCATGGGGACATGAACGGCAGGCGGAATGTCGTGGATGGGACACCCTTCGAGGCATTCCTGTGAGGGGAGGGCTTCGCAACAATCACGAAAGACGACGCAGTACTCCATGCTTCGCTGCAGTTTTTCCCAGACTGGGTTCTCCAGGTAGGTTTGCGTATCAATTTGTAAAAAGTCGATGGTGCAACCAAAGACTTTGAGATCGGTGACAGAGACAAGGTAGTCAACCACATGGTCCTCGAGGTCCTCAAATCGATCAAACTTGGCAACACTCACAGAAATGTTTACGACCGTGCGGAAAGGGCAGTCAGCACCAAATGGCAGTCCATAACCGGCTCGCCTTCTTGGGGGGAGCTGTCATTTGATGGACCGGAGGGCTCCATGGGTGGACTGCAGTGGGTCGCTGTTTGAGCCAGCAACTTTACACCGTGTTCGTGATAATCTTGATTTTTATTTGCCCTTTGCGATTCTCGACCGAGGAAGATGATTCCCGTAGCTGGGGTTTTCCGCACCGGACGGATGCCAAGGCACCTACCCTGGCTACCGCCTGTCGGCAGTCCAATATTCGTTTGGGGAGGGTAACCAACTTCTCTTGATGAAAAGCCGAAGTATTTTTCTCTGGTCGTAACACAGTGTTGTATCACTGGACAATGAGGCAGGGGGGATGGTGTTCTCCTGTCTCTGCGAAGCTACGTGTACGCTACAAGACGCGTCGCGGTACTGCTACCTACAGCGTTCTTCCTTACACGAAGCACAGGGAGAGCCGGGCGGGTGCCTTTAAAGAACAACGAACAACGAACGTATCGATCCCAAAAAGCAAATGACTCACAAGATCGGACTCCCCTCAACTTTTCCTTCACTCACACACACGCAAGCAAACGTGTCGTGTTCGCTTGACTTGTTCTGGCTTTACGTTGAGCTTGAGCCAACGTAAAACATTGACTGCTCACATCAAGCTATGCAAAAGTCGACCACGTGGGTTCCTTTCAAAAGCATCATGTTGCGCAAAGTGAACTCCACATCAAGTGGTCGCAGAAAAACCAACGTGCCAAATCCTCTTGAACTGTACTTGGCTCAAAACACTCCAAAAGCTACGCATGAGGGTACGAGTCAAAGACATTCAAACCGCTTTGACTCACATAGTACCAAAGAGGTTCGTGGTGCATTGTCGTGAACTCAGGGGTGCTCAAATCCCTGAAAGTGGCTCGTAGTGCATTGTTCTAGACGTGTAGATGCTCAAGTCGCATCAAAGAGGTCCAATATCCTCTCACACCCCCTTTCGAATTGAGCATCTCTGGAAAAATTCCCTCCAGTCTCGTCAGCTTTCAAAGCGAAGACAGCGCCGAAACCAAAAGGTAAAGCCACAAGCTTCTCAATTCACTTCAAGACCCTCCGAACCGTTGACTCGGAGTAGTAGCCACCATCGCCCAAACGGCCATCAAAGATCATCTCATAGGCTTGCAGAAATCACCAAAGTCTCCTGCCGGCCCAGTCGAGCCTTTCAAACGCTTGCACCAAGCCACATAGGCCTCATGCTTCGGGTCTGCCACAATCTCCTTGTAGCTGAGCCCTGAATCCTTCAGCTTGCCAAAAGCAATCACAGTGCGGGACCATTCCACAAAGCTGTCAACCCCTTTGGGGAGCAAATGCTTCACTTTGCCCTCATCTGCAATCGTCACATCCATAGCTGCAAGTGTGGCCACACATCCTTCGGTGAACCGGGAAATGGGACTTCCTCAAATTCATCACTCTCAAAGTCAACCAAGCGCCTCTTCGCAGCATCCGTCATGCTACCTGCAGTCTGCGCGACGCAAGGTGGCACAATGCCTTGGCTCCTGCGAGCCAGCATCACCTGCAAGGCCTTTTCATCAGCCTCGGACCATGCACCTTCGGCCATGGCTTCTCACAAGGTCGACCGGCTAGAAGCGCAAAAGAAGCTGTTTCCAAACAAAACCGGCCAAACAAAAGAAAGGAAACTCGACGGGCCCACATTAGGCCTCACACGCACACACCACAACACACACTCGGAAAGGGTTTCAGGTACACCTCTCTTTGAGAGTCACTTCACCCCAAAACCGGCAACGACGTCACGAGTTCACAAACTAAGTGCAAAACAAACATGACTGCAATTCCAAGTGTGATGCTTGATGCAAAAAAACGAAAGTCACAAGAAGCACTATGTAAGAGGCGTCTTAGACGTCTTACTCGCATTCATTTTCGCGTTACGCGATTTACGGTGTTTGCTGTAAATGCTTGCTCCTTGCTCCTGATCCTCAAGCGAATTAAGTTCACTGCCAGCTCACTACCAAACTAAGGTTCACAAACGATCGGTCCTCAGGGATCTCTTCGCGCCGCTTTCATAGCATTCAAAATGCCTCTTGACAAAGTAGGAGAATAGAAAGCAGTCTTTGAGTAGTCTGTATCTGAAAATGCTGCATGTTCTGAACAAGTGCACTTTCCAAATCTCTTTGTCAACGATGCGCAAAACCCTCTTGAGGACGAAACGAAACTAAGCTTCTTGCCCACTGGAGTCCCGGACCTACCTGAGTATCCTGCCTGACAAAGGTTCACAACACTCTGATGCACTAGACCACATTTCTCCATCACACGAAGAGTAAGTGGCCTCCCCCATATGTTGTTGTACAACGGGAGTTCAAATGAGCCCACATCACCAAGCCTCAGGTAATGCGTGGTTGCTTCCATGACTTGTTCCCATGTCTGCTGTTCTTCGGAAGACAGTTTCTCAGTTTCTCGAAAGTGCTGCAACGGTGAACCTGTCTTACATGGTGTGGATACGTGCACATGAATCCAAAACCCTTGGCTCCTTTTCATCTTTACCAAGTGGGCAACCCTCTGTTTGATTCCTTTTGTTTCCATGTTAGCCGCGATACCAACATACATAATGTTCGATCGCTCACAGGCCAACCTCAAGTTGGAATTCTCAGTGCAACACACCTCAACCATCAAGTAGTCTGGGTTGTTTGAACCTGATGCCTGATTGCTTACATGAAACGCTTCAGCCAACAACCACAGCTCACTCAATGGCATGTCCGCTTGCATGAATCCCAACACCGCTCGATGTCGAAGGAAATCACGTGTTCCGAGACACTTGGTGAAAAGATCTGCCACATTCTGTGTTCCCGCTCGATGTCGAAGTTGCACCTCATTGGAACTAACACGTTCCTTCAACCATGTCAACTTGATATCAATGTGCCGGGAACGACGTGGAAGATCAACAGCACCAATCAACTGCAACGCTGAGCTGGAATCTGATTCCAATACAATGTCCACCTGTTCCTTCTCCTCAATCTCTCCCAAGCCGAAGAGAACGCGATGCACAAAATGGGAGACGGCAACTGCCTCCTGTGTGAGATGCTGAATAGCATATAGCTCAGCCTCACAAGACGATAGCGAAGTGGCCTGCTGTTGCTTTGCCAGAGATCGAATCAAGCCTGCCTCGACCATAATGATCCCTCCAGTGATGCCTTTTCGCTGGTTGAATTCATAGGGGGCATGTGATGCGTCTGAAAAGGTGTGTAAGAACGTCACCATGCCATCATGGTCTGTGAGTCTCACTCCCTCATACTCTGGAGATGGAAGACGAAGGACTGTGTTTCGATCTGTGAACAAATACCTCAATACTGCCCTAATGGCCGCTTCTGTGCTTTGTGTTGGGGCTGACTGCTGTGTACCAATTAGTGATAGCCATAACTTGAGGTCTGCTCTACTCTGGGCTAACCAAATGAGGCGACCGAGTCCCCGACGAAACCGGGAGCACGCTTCCGACGACAATGGTGTTTTCGATGATGCATCCTTCTTTTCCATCAGGCCTGCTATGTTAGGCACAGCACTCGATCCTTGTGTGATTCCAAATTCTTTGAAAGTAGGGTTGAGATACTCTGGGATCTACTGCTACAAAGATCGCCTTCTCCTGGGGCCTTCGATAAAGATGTCTCCCAATGAATGACACCTTTCCGCCTCCTTCATCTGACGGAAGAATCTGTCCAGTCACCTTGGTTGGTACAACTGCCGAAATGGCACTGATCACGCTCCTTTCCGCCTGTTCTGTAGAGGTGCACAACAGAATGTCATCCACGTACACCATAAGCATGCCGACACCCAGCACCTGAGAGTCTTCACCAAAGATTTCTCCCTGGTAAATACAGGGCTCAAGTTCGTCTGACCACAATCCTTGACTTTTGACAGTCTCACTCAAAAGATTCAACCACCTCAGGCTCGCATCTCTCAACCCGTTGAGCGCTCGATCTAAGTGGAGATACGCCACACTGCCATCAACCAAGCTCACAGACAGCGGAAGTCTCAATAAGATTGTCTCGGAGCTCGGAAGGGGAGAGTGCATGAAGGCGTGACTGATATCTAAGGTCTTCACTCGAAAATCCCTACTAGCGCTCAAGGAAAGGAGAAGAAACAACCCTTCTACACTGGGAGTGGGTGAGCTGTATCCCATGGCCCTAGCCGTCGTCCCCCTTTTAATATCCTTTGCCACAATCCGTGTCCTGACTTTGACTGGGGATTTCTTAGCGCATACCCATCTACTAGGTATTACTCTTGTGTTTTTGCTCAGTCTCTTCAAATCGTTCATTTGTTGTTCACTCAAGAGTTTCCCCGCCTTGCACTTCTCCAAATTGCCAATTTCCTCCAACATGCCCTCGAAACCCAACTTAGGTTCTAAGGCCTCCAACGTGCTGTCATCAATGACATGATCAGGGCACCAAATCAAAACCTTGCCTCCCCCAAGAGTGAGTTGCTTGGACACATGTTCCTTTCCATGATCAAATTGTATGGCACTGATCTCATCCAGAACTAGTGTTGGTGACGTCATTTGAACCCTAAAATCCAAAGATTCTAGTGATTCACCGGAGTCAAAACAAAACAAGTTCAAGGAAGACAAGACTGAGACTGTTTCCACAGCTTCAGTATTCGCCCTGGTCGTTTCTTCCAAATCTTGCACTGCCGTCTCAGCAGCTCTTTTGAACTGTCTGGTGTATTCGGCCTCCAATGGTACCGGAAGATTCTGGAGATTTTCCTGTGCATCAAAGGCTGCCCTGCGACGACGACACTGCGCTGAATGCCTGATTCCAGGCGCAACCATTCCTGTATCGCAAGCGGGAAAAAAACGAGTCGGTTGAAACACCCTGGGTTGTGGTTCACCAGCAAGTTGGCTAGGAGGTGTTTGTCGCACAGCCGACTCTGACTCTGGAACAAAAGGAGGTTCTTCTATTCTAGGTACTTTTGGTTGACTGGCCTCAAACGCTTCTTGCTGATGCGTGCGCTTTCTCTCTTGAGGCACGGGCACACCCTCAGGTCCTGGCAATGGCAATCGTGGTTCCTGTTCCATACCTTGCGGACGGGAAGCTGAACTAGCTGCATGCTCGGCCTGCGGGGGATCGGCCAGCGCTCCTCTCGACACATGAACATCCTCAACCTCAATCGGGTGACCACTCATGGTGATAAACCCTGCTCCCATCTCTGCATCCCACTTCAATGGGAGAATTGGTCTCACATTTCTAGCAACAAATTGATGCAAAACAAGCTGGCCTTCAAACCGCACAAACCCTTGAACCTTGGGACCATGATCAAGTCCTGCGTGCAAATACGCCGCTTCGATGCTCCGAGTTTCGTTTGGAGCGCGGAAACGAACTGCATCTGGCAACTCAGCCAACACTGTAGCACCATACAAAGTTGATGTGGGTTTGCTAAGTCGCCTGCCGCACACAGTCTCCAGCGGTGAAAAGTCTGAACTAGGGGTCTTGCCGAAATGATTGTGAACTAAGGCCAAATACGTCAATGCTTCTGCCACACTGTTTGGTGTAAAGTTCAAATCGGCTCCAGACTTATTCAAGTCGGCTCTCAAAACACCCAAGCTCTCCTTAAGTCTGCGAACGGCGCGTTCCGCTGCACCCACACTCCGGTGCTGCTGTGGATTTGCCTTTCTCACTAGGAACGAAATCCTCTCTGAGCAATCTGAAATGAGATCTCCCACTGCCTGTTCCGCGTCAGTGTGTAAAACCACTGACGTGGCCCCTGATGTCGACGCCAATCCAAACAGCTCCAGCCATTTGGAAATCCTCTTCTTGACCGCCTTGAGGTCACTTGTGACAACGATGTATCCAACTGCATTCGACACCAGTTCTGTGAGAACTAGAATTTTGACATTTCCCAAGCCTTGGTCATCTTCCAAAATCTCACCCTGGCTTTTCAAATAACAAAAATCAGCTTGTATCTCACACTGTAACCCTTCCTCTGATCGTCGCCTGTGGGAGAAAACACTTCGTCCTCGCGCACACTCAACGCAACCTGGGTGAAAAGGTGTGTGTCCTTGTGCACGGTGTTGCTCAAGTTCACGCGCTGCTGCTCGTGACAACGGGTAGACAGGAAGTTCATAACCCTTCTCAGAAGCGGTCACCTCAGGCACACCTGCAATAGTAGACAACGACAATTGCTGTGATCCTGACGCCTCGGCCTCATCAGTGTTGCGATCTAAAGTTTCTACAGGGTGGAGTCGAACCCAAGGGCAACCTGCAAAGTATGCCACCTCGCCTAGACGCTGACCAGTCGCGCTGTGTGTGACCTGGAAACCTTCATTGCTTTGTGAAAACTTCCAACCTCCAGCGCATAGCCTTGTGGTGGACAGGATGTTGTGCCTAATGTTTCCTACAAGAGCACGCAACGTTGCCTTCTTCCATGCGCACCCTTCCACATTTGAGTCTGAAGACCTGGAATCATTACGCAACATCATCCAAACAGATACGGATGCCTCGCCTTGCATGTGCACCTGACTTCCATTCGCAGCCCTGTAGCGATCACCATCTACTGCTGCCTGAACATCATGCACCATGTACACATGTTTGCATGCGCTGCTCATGACCGTGGCACACGCACCTGAATCTAATAACCACCAAGTGTTATCATCTGTCACCATTTCAGACAAGAGGGGCATTAAAACTGGTACCCACTTCACAGACTGAGCTGCAACTGACAACGTTTGTTTCGTCTCGTTCAAAAAAGTTGAAACACACGGCAAAAGAAGTCGAATTCGGAGAGGTTCAAGTGCACACAACTCTTGACTCGTCTCGTTTGCATAAACAACCCGTTTGTCGTCTCTCAAACCACACTGCACATACGAAGCATGACATGACTGTGGAATGCCCGATATTTGTTCGCTTGGAAAACTGACAGGACACCCATCCAAAAAGACCCCGTCCAAACGTCGACGTTTGGACCCCCCCTCTTTTGCGGGGGAAGGGAAGTCAGACAGAGCCGGAAGAGCATGACATGAATGTGCATCTCCATGCGTCTTTTTGATTGTCGTTTCTCCTGCACTCTTCTCTAAGCCCTTTGCCAAAGGTCCGGACAAATCTGGACACTTCGAAGGCTCTGTCGCAGTCTCTGCGTCGTGCTCCGGTGGTTCCAATTCCAAACAAGGCCGCATTGACACAAAATCACAAAGGACAAAAACTGGTGAAAGAATCAAACTTCCAAGTGCATTTCCTTCTGACTTCACAGCATCCGTGCGATACTGAGTTTCTGAACCAAGCTCTCCGCCTGTGCCGTAGCCATCTTGACTGGTCTCAACCCAGCCAGAATGCCAATCCTCCTGCACGTGCCATGCCGCGTCACTCCAAGTCGCGGCTACCGGGGATCCATCTCCCCACCAAGACTCCTCACTGTCCCACCACAGATCTTCTGCGGTCCACTCAATTTCATTCAGTTTTCCTTTCTTTCCACCTTTACCTTTGCCTGTTTGGTTTCCGTTTCCAAATTTTCCTTTCTTGAACATGTCCTGTTTTACCCAAGAACTCTTTCGTCCGTCCAAACCTTTTGAGCCTTTGCCTTGACCCTTTCCTTTTGGTCCTGCAAAGCGAGATTGCGGGCAATTCATCGAGACATGTCCTGTCTGGTTGCATCGGAAACACTTGATTTTGGTCAAATCAACACTACATTCATGAGTCTGATGTTTCTTACTCCCACATTTTCCACACTTTTGTGCGGAACCCTGCAACTCATCAACAAACCAATTTTCGTCATTTTCACTCAAATCAAACCATTCTACTCCTTGTTGTTGTTGCTGCTCCTCCTTGTGGTGTGTCACCTGAGATACCTTTTTGCCTCCTAAAGGGACCAAATCCGTAAACATCCTTTGCTGCTGTTCCCATCTACATGCTGCACTTCGGTATGCTTGGTAGCTTTCTCCTTCTGCATGGTGCAAAACATAGTTGCGCACGGTTTCTGGCAAACTGCGCACCAACACCATGAGCAAATCAGCTTCTGACACCTGTAGCCCTACAGCATCAACCGTCGACGGGAGTGTACTCAACAATCGCTGATATCTAGCAGCTTCAAGTTCGATACGTCGTACGGTATCACTCACGAGCGACGAAGGAGATGTTTCTTGAGCCGTGAGAACAAAACTTTTGGATGCCAACGCAGTTCGAAAAACAAGTGCTTCATTGCGTGTCCTCAAGGAGTATTCCTGCGTAAGCTGACGCAGAAGCTCATATCCGTTCGCACTGGTTCCTGCACTACCGTCAGAGGTCATGGCCTGAATGTCCACTCCTTCCATGAAAGCATGGATCAACGTGGCACTCCTGGGATGGCCCATGAACGTGGATCTCAAAATAGCCAACAAACGCATACTACGACTTCTCATCACCAACGTCATTGATGACCAACGGATTGGTGTGCTCCACCTAGATGCTTGCAGAATCTCAGTCCCAAACTGCAAAGATGCTTGGGACGCCCATGCTGACAAATCCGCCACATACTGCGCCCAATTGAGCACTTCACTTTCACGATCACGCCACTTCTCAAAGGATGGCTGAGGTGGATTTCCAATCCACTTGTCCGTCCGTGAAAATGGATCATTCTGGTTCCAACCACTGTCACTACCTGCACCATCAGCTTGCTGCCGTGCACTCTGCGCTTCCACTGGCAACGGCAAACCTGCCGCCAACAAGTCAGGCGTGAACGGTTCTGCTGGCGCACTCCGTACTTGTCCAAACAAATCTGGTTGTGCATGAGTCCTTCTCCGAACTTGTTCTTGAAAGTATTGAGCTAAGGATAGGACCTGTGCACCAGACATACCCTCTGCTAAACGTACAACGTCTTGCACTCCAACCGGATTCACACCTAAACAGGGAAACAAAGAGCCACAACCTTGTCCTGCCTGACCTACAAAACCACTGCTACATCCAGGTCCTGGTGTGCAACTGCCACAGCAACCGTATCCTCCACAATTCCCAACTGAGATTCTAGGATCGCCACTTGCTAAGTTGGGCACTTGGCTAGGGAACTGACCCAGTCCTGGCGCAAAACCACTCAGGTTCGGACCACTAGGGTTCTGACTGCTAAGATTCTGACCAGCTAAGTTCGAGTGACCCCATCCTAATCCTGCTCCTGGCATGTTCGGCATGTGTGGTGCGTTGGGTGTCACACAACACCTCCACCCTGCGAACCATTCACGCTACCTGGCGTACTCTGATTAGGCGTACTCGGGATCCGTGGTGGTACTTCTGACATTCCGCCTTGCTCTAACAAGTGCGTGGGACTACTCGGAACGTTGCCTGCTGCTGCTTGCGCGCCTGCTTGCTGCATTATGCCCTGGAACACAAGACGCTACGTCTGGCGACCTTCGGAGCCCAGTGCTCCGCTACCATGCGAAGCTACGTGTACGCTACAAGACGCGTCGCGGTACTGCTACCTACAGCGTTCTTCCTTGCACGAAGCACAGGGAGAGCCGGGCGGGTGCCTTTAAAGAACAACGAACAACGAACGTGTCGATCCCAAAAAGCAAATGACTCACAAGATCGGACTCCCCTCAACTTTTCCTTCACTCACACACACGCAAGCAAACGTGTCGTGTTCGCTTGACTTGTTCTGGCTTTACGTTGAGCTTGAGCCGACGTGAAACATTGACTGCTCACATCAAGCTGTGCAAAAGTCGACCACATGGGTTCCTTTCAAAAGCCTCATGTTGTGCAAAGTGAACTCCACATCAAGTGGTCGCAGAAAAACCAACGTGCCAAATCCTCTTGAACTGTACTTTTTTTCCACGAGTACGGACGCCGTGTGGGCATGGTGCCCAGGTCATCATTGAAGGAAGGGAAAAACAGTCAGATGGTGGAGAAAGGAACAAAGACAACCCAACAAAACCAAAAAACCAACCACCAACCACAGCCCAAAGGCCAAGTCTCCACCATCCTGTAGTCTTTCCTCTGTGCTAAGGTGAAACAGGTGAAACGATGACTACTGACTATCGATGGGCCTGAATTCTCGAACGGAGAGCTTGGCAGCGAGGGTTCGTGCTCTAGCAAAATCGCAAAGAAGTCGTCAAAAGGACTTCACATCCCTCTTACCAGTGACCAGCGGCCACTGTACGGAGTGGCAGAAACATGGTCACAATGCAAGTTCCGGGCATTGGTATTCTCTAATGCAGGTCTGATCCTTGCCTAAAGGGATCAGCGGTTGCTATGCAGACCATGCCGTGGAAAAGTCCTTTCTTGTAGCACAACCCATTCAACTGGTTGCACTTTCAAGTCAAGAGGGATAGTAGTTGGTGGTGTTCAGGCAGTGGCGGCCATAGCAAACAACGAAAGCCTGCAGGTAAGGGTGCGAAAGGCACACCCCCCCTAAGGGAGGTCATCTCGGCACCCTTCGGCACACAGAGGTGCCAAATCGGGGTGTCCCCTATCTTCGTGAAATGCTGCGTCATTGCAAAAATTGTTCTGTTGCGTGCAAGGCCCGTGTGAAACAGGTGAAACAGGACCTATCCTAGCACGGTATCTGTACCTCTTTGTACAAAATTGGAAATGTCGGACATCAACAGAGGGAACTAAGGTTCCCCCTGGGCATCCTCCATTGCCATTCGCTACCACCCGCCTGTTGGGAACGAGAACCTAAGGCTCTCACTCCGATTGGCTCACTGTATTGCGAATGGCGAAAAGAGGTTGGCGATCCTACTTAGTGTTTGCACTTTTCATTTGCCGTAGCTTACTGGCGGCGTGCTTATCCACAATTCCCGCTGCGAAAGCATCGATGGTCTTTGGAGCAGGTTCTGGAGAGTCATCTCTCCATAGAACACTGGCATCGGCCGGCAAAACTCGGTGCTGTTTGGACTAGTCGAGTTACCCGCCTTTGTCAATTGCTCACATTTGTCAAAGGCGTTGGGTCGGGCATATGTCCCTCGCCATGTTTTGCTTTTCCCTTGTTTGCGCACTGCTCGAAGTTGCGCGCAACCTGCAAAAGCACGTCGTGCAATATAAAGCAGGGATGGTGGGATGGAGACCTCCTGCAGAGAAACAGCACTACTTTACCGCGCTACTCCAAGTATTACTCGCGCTCAACGAACGAGTTCCGAAGTTTCCGAAAACCAAAGTTTCAGCAACAAACACAGTTTGAGAAGCGTTGCTCAAAGAAGCTGCTCCCTTTTCTCAGTGAAGGCTCCAGTGTCCGGTGGGCAGTGCAAGCAAACAAGCAAACACTCTACACAAGGTGTCTTTACAGCTGTCTTTACATCTCTTTACATTTCATCCTTGTGAGTTGGCTTGAGCCAAACACAGTAGCATTTCAAACACTCAAAGAAACTCAAGTTTCTTCCTGGGCTCTCTCCAAAAGGCATAGCTACCCTCGAACCGAGGGTCTCCAAAACAAGAGGCAGGCACGAGATGGTTCTCGTACCCCCATCAGACAGCCACCTTTCAGCATGACGGTCTAGGTTCGTGAACCTAGACCCTTTGACACAAAGTGTCTGTGGCTTGATGTCATCATCCGGGAGCACGGCGAACCATGCCGCTTACCTCCAGCTCAAAACTTCACTCCAACCGTTTCAAAGGTTCATCCCAAAAGGAACGAAGTGGTGCAAAACGAAGTTCCCAAAACTTGCATCTTTCTATACAGCTATAAACACATATACACATGGTCACTCTACCCACGTAGACGACGTTCCGGCTTTCACAAACCATTCCCTGCTCACACCAGCAAATTCTCAACATCAGTTCAGAACTGATGACTGCAACAAACGGTCACACTCGCACTGACTGCAGCACACGCTGCAACAAACGATCACACATGCACTGATTGACAGAACCATTCGACTCCCTGAAGAGCGACAGTTTCCGTACAGCACTGATTGCTCCACTCGGCTCCCTGAGTAGCGGTCAACCACACACAGCACTGATTGTATGAACACCAGAACGCATTCCGGAGCTTCACCAAGCTACGGAATCTTTCTCCAAATTCCTAATTCCAACCAAACTGCCCATCGCACAGTTTGTCTAGCCTGCAAGGCTTGCATCAAATTCCAAAAACTGAGATCTCACATCTTATATGCCAGCTTCGTGACATTCGTGGTGGCACAATCGCTCCAAACTCATTGCCTCTAGCAATGACTCGAAACACGCAAAGCGATTCAATCTCGCTCCAGTCTCCCAATGCTCCAGCACTAAATTTCCAGACCCCCTTTCGAGGTTGAATCGCAGAAGCACCCGGCTACCAGCATAAGATTCATCGAACGCACCATGGCTTCGCACGGAGTCGTTATCCTAAAGAAAAGTAACATGACACAGCAAAGCAGAGCAGGGCAGGACAAAGGGCACTCCACCCTGAAAGGTCCGACAGTCCTCTGACACACACGCTCTCTTTTCGACACGTTTCTAGGATCCAAAAGGCTTACAGTCCTCACAGGATTTGATAATCCTGGTCACACGTCCGCGTTTCGATCGAACATGAACACACGTTCGAAGATGAATTCTCTCTCCACTATGTGGAAAAATTAGAAACTCTCTATCTTCCAGCTCGCTCCTGGCCGCTCCAGCGATCTGGCGTGTCTGGCATTCCTTTGAATGCGCCTTTGCCTTTGCTGACGCCTGAACTCGATTGGTCCGAAGACCCAACAACCACATCACGAAAGCTCCGACAAAGCTCCCACGCAAAAAGACTCCCACAAGGAGAACCTCGAACTCATCCAGTCCCAGCATCCCAAAGCAAGAAGAACCCAGCTCAAACAAGAAGCTCAAAGCCGAAATCTCCAGTCCGCGTCGGACCAAAACGAATTTCGACCCAACGCCAAAGCCGAAACTTGCACAGTGACTTTGACAGCGACCCCGGAAATCAAGGTCATAAACCCCCTTTCGAACTCAGCCCCCCTTTCGAACTGAAATCTATGAAACAGCTCTTACTCCCTTAAGGATACTTTCAGCCAGTTTCTTATTATAAAACCCAGTGCTTGTCCATTCGACATCGTTAAACGATGCATGTTCTGAACAACTGCAAACGCTCAAGTGTGACAATGCTTTTGCAAAGTTCTCTGAAGTTGAAACTATCTTCAAACGCTTCCCAACAGGAATCTGAGATCGTGAAACACATCCTGTTTGACACAGACGCACTTCGACTGCAAAATGTAAACCACACTTATCTAGAATCTTCTTAACCCCTTCACACTTCCAAAGAGAATTGATCACAGGCCATTCCAAACTCATGCTCGCGCAGAGCTTGCGATACCTAGGCAGCATGCTCACAAGTTCTTCCATGTCTGCGAACCTGAAATCAAAACCCTGGTCTGAACTGAAGTTCCGAATGGGCGAACCTGCAACGCAGGGACAAGAAGCATGGCAATGGATCTTCTCGACTCTCCGACTCTTCTTGAGCTCCTCAATCTGTTCCGACAATCTTCGCACAGTCTCAGGAAGTTCACCGTCTTTCGTAATCCCAATGTACTGCACGTCACGCTGTCCACAAACCAATCTCAACGATGAGTTCTCTTCACAACACAGCTCAATGAAAAGCAACGTCTCATCAGCTTTCTTGGTCGCGGACCTCGTCAGAGGTTCAAGACAGCCTTCCAACCAGTCAGGATTCATCATCTGAGACGCTGCCAGAACACCTTCTAGCCGCACGAAACCCAACTGCTCTCTATACTTCATGAAAGTTCTCGTGTCCAGAACCTTGGTCATCATGTCACTAGGATTAGCCGTACCCTTAATCCATTCAATCTCAACCTTCTTGTGCTCTAGCTGTTCACGGACCCAAAACACACGCACCTCAGTATGCCTTGATCTGCGAGGGATGTCCGATGAGTTGATCAAATCTCTTGCTGAGGCACTATCAGTACACAGACGAACCCCGTTTGGCACACAAGTGACAACAATCTTGATAGCTTCAAATAGACGAAAAACCAGTCTTTGAAGACCTAAAACCTCCTGCATTGTTGCCTGAATAGCGAAAAGCTCACTTTCACAAGTAGATAGGCTAACTGCTGTTTGATGACGTGCGAAACACTTGATCACACAGTTCATACACACAACCACAGCTCCTGAGATGCCCCGTCTCTGAGTTGTTCTCATCGGGGCGTGACTTGCGTCGCAGAATGCCAGCAACAGCAACGAATCACCCCCAAAATCAAACTCACTTGGAAATTGGATCCCAACATTCTTGTCTTGGTAAAGAAACCTCAGAACTTGGCGTAACCCCTTTTCATGTACCTCCTGTGGTGCCTGTTGTCCAGTAGATAGGAGGCAAACAAAAATGTGTAGATACTCTAAGGTCTGAGATAGCCAGGCGATCTTGCCCAAAGCTCGCCTGAACCTTGAATGTCCTGCAGGACTCAAAAACGGTGAATCCCCAGCTCCTTCCAACGTCGCTCGAATCCCCGGCACGGAAATTCCCGAACTCTTCACTTTCCCAGTTCCTCCAATCTGGAACTCTTTGAAGGTACCATCTAGGTATGTTTCTTCCACAAAGATGAACAACCTTGGGTCACCTGGAAGCCTTTGAATAAACCGTCCAACAAACTTGAGCCGTCCTCCCTTCACAGGATCAACCGCCCCCGTAAACTTGGTAGGAACATGTTCAGCCAGCAAACCATGAACCTTCTTTCCAAAGTCCTCTGAAAACCCAACACACAAAATGTCATCCACATAGATCACCAGAAAACCCAAAGAACCACTAAGTATACAAGGTTCCCGCCTGTCCGACCTCAGTTGCAAGGGTTCCACAAGTCCCGTACAGTAGTCCAACCACTCTCTCGAGGCTGGACGCAACCCGTTCAAAGCTCTCGAAAGAACTAAGTACAAAGGAGATCCATCAACCCAAGTTACACTCAGTGGCATCTTAACGCAATACTTCTTCTCTTTCAACGGTGTGTGCATGAAGGCTGCACTCACATCCAAAGCTGTGAGATACATGGCATTCTGCGCTGCGATGGCCAGAACGCACTTCAAACCCTCAACGCTTGGTGTTGGACTCGAGGCTCCAATCGACTTTGCCTTTGAAGTAGCAAAATCTTTGATGACAATCCTTGCTCTCACTCCATCTTGACCCAGCACGATCTCGAAGTTCGTCACCCATCGTGCTGTGAGGATCTTCGTCCCCACCCTTTTGGTAAAATCAACTGCTTCCTGGTGCCGCACTGGAAATCCAGCTTCACACTTGTCCAAATTCTCAATCTCTGTCAACATGCCGTCGAAACAGTGGTCTGCTCTCAACTGCTCTAGCGTCGAATCATCGATCGCGCCCTGTGGTTGCCAAACCTTCACTTTGACCCCACAAAAGTTCACCACCTTGAACTTAGTTTCACTACCACCAAAGAAAATACTGGAGACGTTTTCCCCGACAAGGGTAGGTGAAGTGACTTTCCCACACAACTTGGTTGGTTCCAAAAACTCCACCACCAGTTCCACATCCGCCAAACAGTTGAACTCTTCCGGATCTAACGTTCGTTTCAAACCCCGTTTCTCCGTCTCTGAATCTGCAACATCCGACAGCTCTTCTGTGTCTTCCTCAGCCGGCCTCTTAGACCCTCTAGGTGCCGAAGCCGACGACGTTGATGTCCCATCAGGCATATCAACATCCGCACCACCGTCGAAAACCGAACCTCGTCGCGAAAACCCTGGCAAGTCCTCGAACCCTTTAGGTACAGGCCCACTAGGTTCCTTACTCAAATCCACCCCGGACTCCCTGAGAACACCCTTGGGGGAATCAGGAATAGAAGGTGTATACTCCTCACCAACATCTTCGTGTTCTTCAGGAGGAACTTCGACATACGGAATCACCTCATGATCATGACCTTTATAAGGCATAATCTCCTCATCACCTGGAACATCTCTAGTATCTCTACCATGGAACCTGGTCCTTTCCGCCTTCAACCAGTCTACATACCGTTGGCAACATCTGCTAGAATGAGACTTACCCATTCGAGACAAACCCAACTCCAAGGCTTTGCATGCATTGCAACCCTCAGTGTACTCTCCTGTCTCATCAAACCACGACTTCGGCGGTCCACTCTTAGGGCACACCGGATCCACATCAGGTGGTTGAGCTGAGACTCGAACACGCTTCACATCATCCTCGAGTTGCTTAGCGTCACGATCAACAAGCACGTCCTTCTCGTCAGTCTCGAAGCGTTCCACAAACCCGCGAATCAAATGAAACTCCCAACGAAGTGGCAAAACCAGCTTGATGGTCTTCGGATTGATCCGTCTCAACTCTCCGTCCACCTGAACAATGCACACACTAGCTTTAGAGCCGAATTCCGGTCTCAAGTAAGCTCCTTCTGCAAACCTTGGCAACTCCATGGTTCGATCCTTCCTGATCGCATCGGGAAGTTCACACAATACGATAGATCCGAACAAACTTGTTGTCGGTGTCTGTTGTCTCCGGCCCTCCAAAAACTCTCTTGCACTCTTAGCTGTTCCATGCACCCCAACATGCACATTATGCATATGAGCCACATACATACACACTTCATGAAGTGCCTTAGGCTCCATCAAAATGTCCAACCCTGCTGATGTCCTCAAGTCCGTCCTAAGTGCAACAAACGTTTCTTTCACGTGTCTGACTGCCCTTTCTGCTAACCCGTTTGTCTCAGGACTCTGAGGCGATGCCCTGATCACCTTGATCCCTTTCTCGAGTTTCGCGTCTTTGAACAAACTTCCAACTGCCTTCTCACTATCAGTGAAAACGTGCAAAACACCTGCAGGATCACCACCAAGACACCCCAACTCATGTAACCATGCGGACAGGTTCTTCCGGTTATGATCCGTGCTGCTAGAAACAATCATACACCCTATCATGTGCGATGAAAGTTCAGCAACAATCAAAAACTTGAACCCTTCAATGAAGAAAAAGTCGCTGTGAAGCTCGATCACCGAACCCGAATCGTCTTGCTTCTTCCTCCGATGCTGAGCAACCGAACGTGAGGCGACACACACCTTACATCTAGGATCGTACGGCTGATGACCGCGAGCGCGGTGCATCTCATCCACTTCGTCACTGAACCGAACAACCCTCACACCATCCTCTTCACGGGGTAATCCATCTAGTGTGCGAATGCCCTTCAAACAAATCCAATTTCCCCAAGACACCAAGGAACAAACAAGACCTGAACGATGTGTCATGGACGAATCCCCTTCACATCCCAAAAAGATGTTCCATCCATTTTGGTTCAAAGAGGAAGTGCTCAAAATGTTGTTTTTGGTTTCCCCCACTAAAGCACCCATGACAACAGTCACACTCTCAGTCCAGTCGTCCTTCCAACCTGTGACCTGAACCTCTATCTTGACCTTTTCCAACATCTTCACAATGGTCCCATTCGCGGCATAGAAACCCGTTGACTTAAACGGTTCCCTTGAAACTATCTTGTAGTTCTTGAGGTTTTGGATGGCCAAAACAGAAACAGTAGCTCCACTATCAACCAACCACCAGTCAGAAACTTCTTGAGTCTCCAAGGCACTCAACAGAGGAAGCATCCACTTCCTCTCTTCCAAGCACAAAGTGTCTTTGGCGGAACCAAAGGCACTCCAAGGTAGGTGCACCGAAGCACACCCAATGGGCACCTCAGAACACTGCCTTGGATCTTCACTGAAGATCTCAGAATCGACTTTTGCATCATGGGTTCCCAAGCAGTCATGAACACTCATGCAAGCAACACACAAGTCACACGCTCTCGGTTCGGCTCCAAAAGCGGGGTCTAAATTTAAACCCCGGTTTGTATCCCAAAAAGGACAAGTTGCCTCGACAAACCGTTCAACTGCAACAACTCCACCTGCAACAAACACGCTACACGCATCAACCCAAACTTCTCGGCGTGCTTGAAGTCGAACTAGGTCTTCCTTGTGGCCTTCGATCTCCAATGCAACATTCTCCAACCATGCAACCATCGCAGTCAGATCTTGTTCATGTGGATCTCCCAACAACTGTGGCTGGCTCTCAAGCGGTCTTTCACCAATCTCGGACAACGGTCGTTGGTGCTCGAATGAACTCTCAACTAGCTCAAACTCAAGACAGACTGCACAATCCGTCTGAATGCACATCTGAATGTCTTGAACTGGTTCTGTTTCCTCTACATACTCCTCTTCTTCACCTTCTGCCAACTCAAACATCTTCCCTTTCTTACCAGTCCCCTTCTTAGCTGGGTTAGAGCCTTTGCCTTTTCCCTTCTGCTTACCTTTCCCGGGGCTGGTTTTTCCAACGTTGCCTTTTCCAGTGTTTGCCTGACCTTTGCCTTCCTTGTCTTTCTTTGAAGGATTCTTGCAGTTGGCCCCAATGTGACCCTTCTCCCCGCACTTGAAACACACAACAGCCTTAAGGTCTGTGGTACATGACGCAGTTTCATGTTTCTTCCCACACCTTTTACACTTCACTCCTGCTACAGCCTCTACCCAACCCTCATCAAATTCCCCATCATCAACTTCCTCTGCCTGAAGTTCTCTCAACCTCCCTCCAACAGCTCCCAACTCGTTGTAGAGTCTTTGTTGGCGTTCGTACTTCAAACCTGCCTCTCTAAGTGCAGTGAGACTATCGTCGTGTGCATGCAACAACACATACTGTCTTGCGTCTGATGGGAGGTTACGTATTAGCACCATAGCTTGATCACTTTCCGACAAAGCCAAATCGACACGGGAAACGTTTTGAGGAAGGGTACTGCACAGTTTGTCGTATCTAGCAGTTTCTACACTCATCGCGCGTAAAAGGTCACTCACAATGTGTGTTGATTTCGTGTCCAAACGAAATTCTCGTTTCAAAAGCTCTTGCCTAAGACAGATTGCTTCAGTACGTGTTCTCAAAGCAAACTCCAAACTCAGAACGCGCAACAACTCGAATCCGCAGTTTCCAAACGGCTTTTGGGGTGAGTTGTGAATCGGCGCTCCAACTTCGAAAGCTCTGATTAAGGCATCTACACGTCCGTAATTGCTGAATGCTTGTCTCAAAATGGCAAACAATCTAGCACTCCTAGCTTGCTGACCCTGGGTTAGATGTGCTTGAACGATCTCGGTAGGCCAAGCAATGCTTTGGCTGATCTCGTTGGCTAACTTGTCTGAAGCTAGCATCGCCCAACTCCTCAAGCTCTGGACATAGCTAAAGAAACCCTCTATCTCTCCTTCTCGACTAGTCCACTTCGAACAGTCCGGGGTTGGAGGTGGTGGCAACCATTTTTCCGATTTGGAAAAGATGTCTTGTTCTTCTCTGGCTTCTCTGAAACCATGCTCTCTTCTCTCGCGTATTGGGCTCCCTAAACGTTCAAAACCATCACGACCAGCACCCGAACCAGTGTCCCCATACCGTTGACCAACGATGGCTCCTGACTACTCTCGCCAGCATTACCCTGAGGTCGCGGCCTGCCTTCTAACGCGTCCAAACGTTCGCTCACCTGCGATACTGACACCATTAGATTCTGCATCATGGCTCCTAGCACACTCAACTGGTCTGAGGTCCCTCCATCCTGCGGCACTCCTGCTTGACCTGCCAAAGGCGGTACTCCCAATGGAACAAAAGGCATTGCTTTAGCTTTAGCTGTGGGTCTTCCTGCGCTTCCTCCACTCGAATTCAACGAAGGCAATGGTGACGGGGTCGAAGGAACCCTGATTTCGTGCTCCTGCCTTGTCGCATCACCTGAACCTGGCGGTCTCGTACCAAGTACGGGCGAAGACACCCCTGCACACCTTAAAGTTGCTGACACGCTGGACACATTCCCGAACCTTTGCGCTGCGGCTGACGCCCAAGGATCCCAAAGGCCCTCGTTACCACCGCTCTTGATACGAGTAGGCGAAACCGGTGACTCCTGCGCCTCTAGATCACGAGCTCTCCTCATGACTACTCCTGCGCCTGTCCTTTCCGAGCGTCTACTCCAACAACGGTAGCCCCGCAGGGCTCCGCTACCATGCAGAGAAACAGCACTACTTTACCGCGCTACTCCAAGTATTACTCG